CTTTTTCTCTCTCTCACTCTGTCTCTCTCTGGTCAAATTTAAATGAATTAATTAAATAAATAATTATTTTTTAAAAAATGTTAGGTATTGTTATTAACAATGACTATGCAATAAAGATTAGAAACTGCTTTTCCCCGATTCACCCCTGAAGGCCTCCTTGACCCCCAAAACCCATCCTTCCCTACCCCCCGAGCCTCAGTCACAAACATCCAGAGTGCTGGGAGCCAGGGTCTGTGCCGGAGAAGATGCACGGCCACCTGTGAGGAGCCATTTCATTCTCCAGTGACCCCAAAGACCCAGCTCTGTGGGGGCTCCTGCTCTCTTCCCCCGCAACCCACACTCTGGCTCGCTGAGTGTTCACAGTCGCCTTGGGGACTGTCCACAGTGCCCCTGCCCTGGCTGCCCCTGGCCCTCTCACCTGCTGCATTACTCTTGCCATCCTTCGGCATCAGGTATGTCTCTGGCTTTTTTGCCCTGAGGAGAGAACACAGCCTAGGTCAGACACGTGGCTTCCCACTGGGGAAGAGGAGGCTCCAGGCAGACCTACAGAACTTCCCAAGAGGAAAAGGAACAGGGAAATGAGGCACTGCAGAGAAGGTGGCGACTGGACCAGCAAGGGGACTGTGGGGGATGGTTGCAGCCTCCATGCAGCCAGCCCAAGACAGCGGCACGAGGAGGACATAGCCCAGCTACCTGCAGACCCTGAAGAGGTGCATAATCTGGAGGAAATGGCAGAGGTCTTCCCCTCCTCCAGCTGATAAAGGGGGGCCCCAGGCCTGGGAACGGCTCTTGGAGCTCTTGGGTCACTCCCCTTCTGCTGGAAGGTCAAGAGAAGAGGCAACGGGAGCCACTGACCCCATCCCTTCTGGGCCAGGACGATGAGAGCTGCCTTCCTGAGGACTAGGGTCACGTTCAAGGCCAAAAGGCGCTGGCTGGAGCAATACGGCCCTTCTCTGTCCTGGCAGCCTGGGCATCAGAGCAAGGGTAGACCTGTTCTCTAATCCTCTCCCTGAGCTTCAGTGACCAAGGGACCTCCCCAGCCTGCCTGGGGCTCACCTGGCCTCCCAGATGCCTTCCACACAAGGCCCTGAGTACAGGAGACCAGGGGCAAGGGCCAGAGAACTGCTCAGCAATTATGAGAGGCAATAGCCCCTACATCCTCCGGGGACCCCCTATGACATCCACTCCTGCATCTCATCCTCAGACAGGGACCTGCGTTCAGAGACCACAGTGACAGCCCCAGGTCCCACAGCCAGGCAGTTGTAGGGACAAGATGAAGACCCAGGACTTCTGACCCCAACCCAGAAGTGCTGCCACGTGCACCAAGCGGCTCAGAGGAGTCCAGACACTTGGCTGGGTTGAGGGGCCAGATCACAGGGGCTAGAGAAGGAATCCTGTCTCCTTCTCTTTCCAGCTTCTCTTTCTGTGACTTTGGGCAAGTTGCTTCCCATCTCTGAGCATCAGTTTCTTCATCTGTAAAATGGGAATCGTTCCGTCCCCCTCGCTGTCCACCTCCCCTCTCTTGCCTGGAAAGAGGGGGAGGCTACTCACTGGCTGTCCGCGGGGAGCTTGAGGTCATCAGGGCGCACTTTGAAGAAGTCCAGGAGGTGGGGGCAGCGGGAAATCTTGGCGGGCAGCCCCATGAGCGCGCTGCAGTACTCGGTGAGTGTGCCCTGGCGGCTCTCGGCGGCTCGCTGCCCATCAAACCACCTGGGAGCTGGCCGGGCCAGGGAGGGGGACCAGAGACCAGTGAGCACATTCACGAGGTCAAGTCCAAGACGGCGTGGGAGTGGAGAGGGCGGGTGAATGGACCCAGATCTGGTGACTCAGCTCCACTGCTCACCTGGGAGGTGGGGGATGATCCTGTTCTCTGGGTTGATTTCTCCTGCCTCGATAGGAAACATTTCTTTTAAGGCTTTCTAGACATAAAAAGAAAAAAATTAAAAAGGTGTGATGGAATACAGTCATCTTTCAGCATACGTGGGGGACTGGTTCCAGGAACCCCTGCAATACTGAAACCCACAGGTGCTCAAGTCCCTTCTATGAAACGAGGGCATATTTGCAGCCTTCACAGGTCCTCCCTACGCTCTAAATCATCCTCGGCTCACTGACAACCCTCACTGTGATGTAAATACTGTGTAAGGCATGGTTATCTTTAGTGTTTAGGCAATAATGACAAGGGAAACTTTGTACACGTTTAACACAGATGCAGCTCAGTGACTTTTCCAGTGTCTTCAATGTGTCATTGGTCGAATCGGGGACGTGGAACCTGTGGATACAGAGGGTCGATCGCGCTCGTCCTCGCAATGCTATCAACACTAAGCTGGAGACAACTCAGACACTTCTCTAACTCCTCCAGCCAGGAGCTCCTCTCCCACCCTGGATACGAGTCACCGGCATATCCTTTCAGGTTATTCACAGTCTCCCTAGAGTCGGACCCCTTCGCAGCTCCGTACCAGTGCCACCATCCTGCTCAGAGCCCCTGCCAGGCCTGGGTTATTACAACCACCGCCAACATCTCTCCCCACTTCCAGCCTTGTCTGTTCTCAACCCAGCAGCTAGAGGGAGCCTATTAAAATCCAAGTGGAAAAATACATAATAATACTATTGAAAATAAATAGATAATTACAAAAAACAACAACCACCGAGTTAGACCCTATTCCTGCCGTGCCCAGAACCCTTTCTGGCTCTCAGCTCTCTTGCAGTGGAGGTCAAAGGTCTCCTGTTGGTCTCCGAGGCCCTGGCCCGTATGGCCCGACCTCTCCTGCCTACTCACCATTCTCCGCCTCTTTACTCTGCTGCAGCCACCAGGAAGACTCCGGGCCTGCTCCTGCCCCAGGTCCTTTGCACCTGTTGTGCCTGCTCTTTCCTCACACATATGAGCAGCTCTCTCTCTCGCTCTTTTTGTCTCTTCCCTTCAAGTCTTTGTTTAGATGTGGCCCCTCAGTGAGGCCTCCCTTGAACACAGCATTAACAACTGCTCCGCTCGCCCAGCCCTCTCCACCCCCGTCCCCTGCTTTATTTCTCTCCGTGGCTCACGTATTCATGATGGCCTCATGGCACTGCGAGTGTACTTACTGCCCCTTTAACTGTACGCCCAAGAATGACCTAAGTGGGGCCAGCAGGTGTGTGGTGGATAAAGGCACTCGACTCTCACATGGCTGCTCACAGTTCGAGTCCTGGACCTGGTACCTTGCTTTCTCCCTTTCCCCCTCTCTCTAGTGAGCAAACATGCCCTATAGCACATTTCAAAAATAAATAAGTAAAACTAAAATAAGTAATGGTTAAAAGAATGGCTTACATGGTAAACGTCATGTTATGAATATTTTATCTCCCAAAGTCATACTTTTTGGGGTTGGGGAGCTCAGGAAAAAATGATTAACAGGCATGAGAGTGTATGCAAACAAGACAAATCGGTTATGAGATGGGACAGTCCCGCAGGGAAAGAACGGGCAGTGCCAGTCTTACATACACACACATCAATTGGTGAAAATCGAGCATGCACGACACAGGTGGTCCTTTGCTGAAGACAGTGTAATTTGATTCTCGCACACTGCATGCATGCTTTGAAAAGCCATATTGTACCCCAGAAAAATGTGCAATTAAGTGTAAATAAGACATTATAAAATAACAATTTTTTTTGAAAGTGCCCTCTTAACCACAGACTGGAAGGATCCCAGATTCCATAGTTCCTCCCAGCTCCCCAGCCACTGGGGGGATTCCAGGTTCCTCAGACCCCCCCCCCCAAGAGCAGAGAGTGGCTGAGCTAGGAGGGTGTCCCCACACTCACATGGAACTCGTAGATCTCGGTGAACCGCCGGTACACCACCTTCTCCGACAGGTCCTGCCACTTCACCAGGAACATGTACACCTTGGGGAGAGGTCAGGGTGGGAGACCGTGTTCAGCTTCCAAGGGGGCCTTGACGTGCACCTGGGCCACCACCACCACCACCCCCGCCACTGTAGTAGTGCAGAGAGGGAGATCTTCGGGGCAGCTTGGGCTGCAGAGAGAGATCAGACTTCACAAGCCCAGGAGCTGCCACACTCCCACTTTGGAACAGAAGGAAAGGTAGGAAGACGAAAGCGTTTCCTCTAAGAACTGGGAGAAGACAAGGATGCCTACTTGCTCCACTCCTGCTCAACTCGGCGCTGGAAGTCCTAGCTACAGGAGGCATGAGAAAGAACTGACGGGCACCCAGCTTGGAGAGGAGGGAGTTCGACTGTCCGCCTTTGTAGACGACGAGATCACATATGGAGAAAACCCTCTAATCCGCCAGACCGCTCTTAGAATGAATAAGTGAGTTCGGTCAAGTTGCAGGATACAAAGAACAATACAGAAAGGACTGGGTTACAAGAACGGAAGAATTTAGTAAGATACTGTACAATCCGTTCATTCCAGATATTCAGAACAGACAAACCTGGACAGAAACTGGAGGGTAGCTGCCAGGGGCTGGGCGTGATGAGGAGGGACTGTTAATGGGTATAGGGTTTCTTCTGGGGGTAGGTGTGATTTAAAAAAAAAAAAAACAAAACAGCGGAGGGGCCAGCAAGTGGCACGGTGGTTAAGGGTGTTGGATTCTCACAAGGCCGACTGCGGTTTGAGTCTTGGACCTGGCGGCTGGCTTTCTCTCTCTCTCTCTTTCACTCTCACTCTGTCCCTCTCTGGTCAAATTTTTAAAAAATGAGCAAATCAATAAATAAAGTTAAAGAAAAAAAAAATTCTTAAAAAAATAAAATAAAAACAAGGAACCAGCAGTTAGCATAATGGTTATGTCGCTGGACTCCCATGTAGTTGACCACGGTTTGAGTCCCGGACCTGGTGGCTTAAACTCACACCGGGCATGTGTGCGTGCGTGCCCAAGATCCCGAGAGGAGAATGGAGGAGAAGGGATTGCAGCGTGGCCATCCCCTCCCCG